CTTGTGAATAAAACCACTATTTACTATTTTCAACAACTATTAATTACTGATAGATCGTAAAGCTATCTTTATTTCCTTTTTGCTTTCAATAACTTTCTACATCCTGTGAATTAACCCATTACAAGCAATCTTTTTTCATCTTTACTTTATTTGCCTTGGTTCAAGGCCTCATTGAATATCACACCTGGATTTTGGCAACAGCCCCTTCACTGGTTTCCTGGGCACCTCACTCCTTTCTAGCACTCCTGTATTCTACAAACAGGGAACAGTAGGTTTCTGCACTTCAAAGCAGCCTGGCTGGATCAGCTATAGAACAGGTGGGATCAAAGCATCTGTACTTCAAAGGTCTTAAGCTTCATCCGCTGCAATTGCAATCCAAGAAACAGGCAGCAACCTTTCCACGGCTTCATTATGACCAATCCTTCCCTGCCCACTGTGAGAAGCTAACAAATGTACAGTCTTGCTCTCACTCTGATTTGATTTCATTCCCTAATAGCTGAGATTGACACAAGAGAGGAAGATCTTCAGGTATAATCCAGTCTCAGGACTATAGAGAGAGGCTTACTGATGTGTAGTGAATTACAGAAGCAAAGGGGGAAGTATGTGGTAAGAGGACATAGGAAAACTCACTGGATCAACTTTGAAATATGATCTGTTAAGTGCATGGAGTCAGAACGCAACTGTGACTACTGCATATTTTTTCCCTGCAAGCACTGCCACTAAATAGCTGTGCGCCCTTGCAAATGTAATTCAACTTCACTGAGCTTGGTTTTTTTTTTATTTATAAAACTTAAAGTATTACTAAGATCTACCTGAAAGGATTTCTTGGAATCTTAAATGAGGTACTGCGAACAACACAATTAACTTGGCACAGTGTTCAGGAAATGCCTCGTAGAACTTGCAAGTCTTTTATCAAGACTCCTCCCAGATTTAATTCTTGTTTTTTCCTTTCTCACTCAACCTTTCCAGAAAATTAGAATCAACAGTGAGAGATGACCAGGCCATCAGACACAATGTGCTTCTAATTTGTGCTTTACTGAATCAGTGGTAATGCATCAATCTATCAGCTGGAAAACTAGTTTAATTAATTGGCTTCCCTGAATGGTGCCTGTTGTAGGAGATGAAAATTTTTTAGGACACCAATATCCATGGGTAAGAAATCAAGCACTCTGACTAGGAGCAGACTAAATGGCAGCTCCTGCTGCAATCATAGGCTTGGCATGCTTTCTCCAGGCCCTGGGGATTTCCAGGAGCCTATTGTATAATCCTTTGAACTTCCCCACATGCCTACAGACTGTTAACAAATCTGTAATTTTCTCAGAATTGTCCAGGGGATAGAAAATCAGTGATGCAATAATGTAAGAACTTGTTGTTAAGATCTTATATTGAGCTTTCACTGTGTTGTGTCCAACGGCCATGAGGTTCCTCTGAGCCTGATTTGTAAAATGATTTCCATGATTAATGAGGGTGTGTGACAAGATAGCCACAAGGAGGGATGGAGAATAAAATAGAGAGCTACTGGAGTGGAAACTCCCAGGAGGTGTGGTGGAGATGAGTGGTAAATTTGAAGTGAAAGGCTGTAGGGAATAGTAAATTGACTGTGAAAGGAGAATGAAGGGCTAGATTTCAGAGCAAAAAACAAAAACACAAACACAAACACATCAGCCAGTTTAATAAGGCTGCTCATCCCCCATTAGTCACAAGAAATGTCAGACGCTTAGATGAAGTTCTCCATAGAAATTCTAAAACGACCAAAGAAAAGCTACTTTTCCCAAGACTCATTTTTTTAGAAGAGGAAAGATGTATCACTGAGAGTTGTACACAGAAAAAGATACAATAACCAGTAAGCTATTATGTTATATTGTATAATATTTATTATGGAATACACTCATGCTAGAATTGGTATGATTTAAATCTATAGGACAGGCCAGTAAGCTGAAGACACAAGCAAGAGTTGGAGTTATGGTATCAAGTCTGCAACCTGTAGATCAATTCAGGAAGCTGGAAACTCAGGCAAGATCTTAATATTATAATCCTGAAGTTAAATCCTTTCTCCAGTAAGCCTCAACTTTTGCTCTTAAAGCTTTCGGTGGATTATATGAGGTTTTTCCACAATATTCAATCTTTTCCTAATTAGAACTGTTAATCATACCTCCATATCACCTCTGTACCAATATTTAGCTGAATACCTGGCCAAACCACTTGGCACAGTATCTCAGGCAGGTGCTTAAACCACTGAGCTATCTCAGCAGCCCAAGGACACTGTTATTGTGTCCATTTTAAAGACAAGAAATTTAGCTTTATGGCTTGTCAACACACCAAGTACCAAAAATGTTCAGATCAAAATGATAAAATATAAAATTGTTTTCTGCATTTTATAGGCACTTATATCCATCCCTTACTGCCTCTGCCTTTTAGAAACTTTATTCTTTTTGTTGATACATATTTGTCATACATATTGATCACATTCATCATAGAGAATTTGTACCTATGTATGACATACTTCTCTTTCCCCATTCTTTTATCTTCCTCTTAGCCACTGCTAATGTGGTGAGCTTTAGTGGCACAGAAAATTCTATGCTGGTGTCTTCTAGACATCTTTAATGCCAAGAGTACAACACTGCACATTGACAGTACTTTGTGAGTAAACTTCTCTGTGGCGCAATGTCCCAATCTTCAAGTCGGAGGTGTTCATTGCACATTATCCTCGTCGCAAGCTCTTTGCACTGGAGAAGTTGATGGGCAAGATGAAAGACACTGCATTAAATAGTAATTAAATAGTGCCAGGGAAACAAAAGATAGTATAGGCAGAGCTTTGGCTCTAGGGAGTTTACACACACACACACACACACACACACACACACACACACACACACAGAATTTGTGCTGCACAAAGTCTTAGAAGAAATTGTAGGAATTAGATTCAGCTATGTATACAGGCTTAAGTGACAGACTAATTTTTAGTGCAACTAACAGCGTATAAATTCAGGAGAGAGCTGGTACAGATACTATATAAAGGCTTCTTCTAGTTTTCACCTGTGTTTTCTATGAAACTTTAGCAGATATTTTTTGCTCTAGTACTGAAGTAGTGGTAAGGACAGCCATTCTACATCTAAGTATCATTTCCACATCAATGTAGGAAGAAAAATGTATGTGTGCCATGAGGCTCTGGCATTTTTTGTCAGGATAACTCTACCTTTAGATGAAAGTTTACCTAATATATTTCTAATTAGATCACATTGGAGAAAAAATTCATATAGTTCATTGATAAATTTAAAGCTAAATGTGGTGGTGGTGAAGCCTGGTCAGAGGAGATGGGACTCTAGAGGTGTGGCCTGGGAGGGTCCATGTCCCTCTCCTGCACTGTACTTGTCTCTGCTCCATGACTGTGAGGCCATAAGCAGCCCTCTTGTGCCCTGCCACTCTGTCATGCTGCACTGCCTAGGAGCCAGATGAAGACTAACTGAGACCTTTAAAAACAGTGAGCCAAAATAAATATTCACTCCTTTAAGTTGTAGGTGTCTGGCATTGTGTCTCAGTGACAAGAAAAGTAACTAAGACAGATATTTCCTGTAGTCTTTACCCATAGTCATGTGATAATTTCTTGCCCTTCTCTTTCTTGTTCTTTTTGTCCCATCTAGTTTTCCTACTCCAGAATTTCCTGCTCTCAGGACAGTCTCACAGTTTTGCTTCTTTAAAACAAATTGTAAGTGTGACACTTTACCATCCTGTCATGACTGTGTGTTAGGACTGGAAGTTTTACTGTCACCTTATTTAAGAGTCAGATGCGGTCCTTCTTGAGTGATAACCCTCTTGTTAGTTGGTTTGCAACCATATTTTGTTTCTGTGATCAAAACTATGCAAATGACCAGATGTTTGTTTGTCTTTGTGTCTTATAAACATGAGCTGAGGTTAAATTGACTAATTTTTTCATTGCTATTGAATTTTTGGTTCCGATTTTTGAACAAGTCGATATTTTTTCTCAAATCATTAATTCTAGTTATTTCAAAAACATTATTTAGACTTTCACATCATTATATTTTCTTATCAATTTTTCTTACATTAACTTTCTCTCCAACACAAGCAGATAAAGTGCCTCTCTGAAACTCAATTAGTGATAGTTCCAACACAAAGCCCTCCTTCATATTTCCAGTGTTTGTTTTCATTATTTTACTCTGTATTTTTAGTGTAAAATTCAATCAACCCTGTCAATGTATTGGATTTATATTATATTATATTATATTATATTATATTATATTGGATTTATATATATGTAAAGTTACCTGTCTCATAAAAATACCCAACAGACTTTGAAATATTTGTCTGCATTTTTATAATACTATATTAAAAATTAACAAGGACTCCTAGATATATTTATGATCATTAACATGACTTTCCCTTGGTTAAAATAATATGTGAGCAACACACGTTCCCTGTCTGTTGATCAAGCAAAAATATAACCTTTGTTGTATTGATTCTTACATTGATTACTACTTAAAGCAAGCTACCTAGTTAGAAAAGTGAGAGGCTTCTGCAGGGGCCCATCTTAGTGAGCTGCATCAGATAGAAAGATCATTTCCTTTTGGTTTCAGTAGGCTGGTGAATTGGCACTTCTTGATTTGGCCCCAGAGTGCCAACTTGGTAACTGTCTCAGTTACTCTTCTCTTGTTGCTTGGACAAATACACAACACTCAAAATGAACTAAGGAAAGGTTTATTTAGCTCATAGTCACTGGAGGTTTCAGTCCATACTTGGTTGGCTCCAAGGCAGAGTGGCACATGCCAGAGGGCAGCAGTTCATAGCTGTGGCAAAGAGCAAGAGAACAAAGGGAGGAGTAGTGGCAACAAATGGCAACAGAGAGCAAGTCTCTCTCTTTTGTTGCATTCAGGCTTTCCACCCTAGGCTGGGTATAGTACTCATACGCATAATCCCAGAAGTATTCAGATCCATAATCCCAGCCTTGGATCATGAATTAATCACATACTGTAGAACTGTGCCTTGGGCTCACTTTGGCAGCACATATATGAAAATTGGAATGATACAGAGAAGATTAGCATGGCCCCTACACAAGTATGACACGCATATTCATAGAAGTGTGCCTCAATGACTGCATGAGGCTTTGGGGGACAAATACACAAAAATAACAACAGTAACTTGTCCTCATTAGTACAAGAAGTTCCTGAAAGAGATGGTTTCTTCAGCAGTTAATTCACAAGATCTAATAACTCATACAAGCTTTCAATTTTGTATCAATATGGAAGCAAGATTCACATTTTAGTCTAATCATGTTTTATTAAAGTATTCCCAGTATATTTAATGTATAGTGAGTAGTTTCAGGGCCAAGACTCAATTGTGCTATTATTACGCTCTCATGCACCTCTGGAGAGAACATTTTCAACAATTTATGGTTGAATTGAAAATGAAAATAAAATATTTCTTTTTGGTGACAAGTGGAATTCAGTCAAATATAAGTCCACAAGAAAAATGGCACTGCACCACAACCATAAACCTTCAGAGAAAGACAATTTCCAACAATATAATTTATATTCTTAGCATTCTAGAACGCTGTCTTTTCTGAAAACACTTCATAGTCAGTTGAAGATGGCAGGCCTGGAAAGCATATTATTCTCTAAGCATGGCACAGTCTACTTACATGCCATTGTAAATAAGGCAGCCACTGCTCCGCATGACTTGTGGGATGCCAGAGGGCAAGGTACCTCGAAATTAACTTCTGTCTAATATGATTAGCAGATGACAGCTGCAGGTGACTCAGTACTGCTGACAGTCCACAAAGACCTAATTGCTTCACTTCGAGAATAATATATGGACACTTCGAGCATGAAGGTTTTTAAGCTAATTCAAGGATTTTTGAATCAGTTATTTTAAAGGAAAATAGTTTAATAAAAAAGATTTCATTAAAATAAGCAGACACAATGGGTACAAGTATGTCCTATTTTATTAAATGAAAAAACATAATAATTGCGTGTACAGTATAATAATGGTATGCATACATTGTTAAAGCACTGAGGGTAATCAATCTAGGCATGGCTTATCCCTGGGCATTGAAGCTGTCAGCAATTTTGATTAACTTCTTTGCATCTTTCTAAGTTTTGAATTTTCCTTTTGGTAGTAACATGCACTATGTTTATAAATAAAAAAAGGAATGTGCAATATAAAATCATTAATTGGAAACATTATTTGATAGTGCTACCATTTGTTTCCAGTGAATGGTTAAGTATTGAAGTCCTCTTCTGTTCAGCCTAAATAAAAGGAAAATTTTCTTCTTCATTATTTCCTGGGCTGAAAATGCCACAATGAATTCCTTTGAGAAATTCTGGCATTTCAAGGTTTTTCTGCCAGCCCACTTAGTACACAATTTCTGAAATGTGATATTTTTCCCATAGAATATCTTGAACACTAGGAATATTAGGAATGAAAAATGTATTTTTTAATTTATGAAAGTGATAAACATTTGATGTCATTAAAGTTATACTAACTATATTGGTTTTATTATCATACATTATTCACTATTATTGAAATAGCACATTATAGCCCATAGATAGCTGCTATCATTGTGTATTAATTTTGAATACAATAAAATAGAAGAGTGATTCCACTCACTTTTGCTTATTCACTAACTTAAGAATGAGAGTTGATATCAAGGTCACTTTTAGGGCCAAAGAAAGGAATACCTATTATGCCTAGAGTAGGGTTGGGTTGCTCCCTTATACAGGGGAAAGAAATACCCAAACTGCTAGATGTCCGGTATAAGTGCATGTTCTCTAAAACTGAAGGACGAATTTTAGGAAAAATGGAAGTTAGGAGAAGAATATAGTTCTTTGGGGAAAGAAAGCTTTTGCCAGAGAGAGAGAGAGAGAGAGAGAGAGAGAGAGAGAG